ATTGAATTTCACTACATTCAAGGAAGTCAACTTGTTATTGCCGACACCCTCAGCCGAGCTTTTCTTGATGTTCCTGACGCGCAGGTGAGAGTCATGAAAGTAAACGCTTTGAAAGGAGTGCCAGATGAGCGAATCCGGGAGGTATAAGCAGCTACCGCACAGGACCAATGTATGCAGTCCCTGTTGAGCACTATAAAAGATGGTTGGCCAGAAAGCAAGAAGGACGTACAAAATGATCTGAGGCCATATTTTGATGTGCGAGACACATTGAGCCATCAAAATGGAATTATCCTAAAGGGAGAAAGAATAGTTATCCCAGCATCGCTCCGTGATACCACAAAGAAACGATTGCACTCTGCACATTTGGAGTACGATAGTATGATGAGACGAGCTGGAGACACCATATTTTGGCCCGGAATGGCAAAAGAAGTACGACAGCTAGCAGATAACTGGGAGGCTTGCCAGCAATACAAACCACAAAACCAGAAAGAGCCATTAAAACAGTATGAGAAAGGACAAGTACCTTGGAATAAGGTTGGAATTGACCTTTTCGAGATCAAAGGAAGAGATTATCTAGCCACGGTTGACTATTTCTCGGGTTTCATAGAAGTTGACCACCTAAGCACTGCCACAAGTAAACAGATAATCACCAAACTCAAAGGACATTTTGCAAGATATGGCATACCAAGTGAAATGGTAACTGATCGTGGTTCACAATTTATTTCCTCCGAGTTCAAGACCTTCACCAAACACTGGGGAATTAAGCATGTAACATCGTCACCCCTCCATCACCAATCGAATGGAAAAGCGGAAGCTGCGGTTAAAACTATAAAGCTAATGATGAAGAAGTCACTGCGGGACAACACTGATCAATATGAGGCTTTACTTGAACTGAGAAACACGCCACGCCATGGTACTGGACAAAGTCCAGCTAAAATGATGTTTGGTCGAGCAACACAATCATTCCTACCAGCCATATCGAACACAAAATCAGAACGGGCGAGAAATGCAACACAGAAGAGAGCCAGACACCGCCTTCTGGTTAAGCAAAGTTATGACAAAGGCGCTCGAGACCTGAAACAACTGTCACCTGGTCAGCCGGTGTACTACCAACACACAGAAGGAAAGAAGTATGACTGGAGAAGAGGAAAAGTACGTGCCAAACATAGTGAACGATCGTATATCATTGAAGGAAAGAATGGTGTATATAGAAGAAACCGAGTTCATATACGCCCCACGACAAGTGAAGTCAACAAAGATAACAGTAAAGACAACAAGGGTGAAGCAGAGGTACAAGCAAGACCACAACGAGCAAGACAAAAGCCCCACTGGATGAAAGACTATACAGTATGTTAAAGTTTTATTACTATATTAATGATTGAGATAGACATTAGATATATACTGTAGGTATTCGGAACTTATTCGGACACGATACAGAAACTGACAGTAATCTGCAGTCTAGCATCAAAGGAACTATCACAGTACATTCACTTTTAGTGGTTATATATATATATATATATATATGCCTTTTTGTAAAAATAGGGAGATGTTGATATTTGGTTTTGAGCCCGCAGTCGGGAGTCCTAGCGGGCGCGCATGCGTAAGTTGTTGTTCTTAAAAAGCATGGCGTGAGGCCGCCTTTTAGTATTAAACTAGAACTTAATTGAGCTTAATACAGACTTGTAGTCCTTTTAACATTCAAGGTATAAATAATCACAGTGATAGTTTATTTTAATATTGTTATTATGTGAGTGTCAATTGAGCAGTATCGTACCCACATTGGAACACATAATTGTATAAGGATGAAAAATATCTGATTTGTAGAAAGATATTCCTATTGCATCCCAGTGTGGATTGTTGTCTGCACATATTAACTTACCAGCAGCTTAATTACCATGTCAACCGATTTTGTCAAAAGGTATGACGGTCTATACAAATATATCTCTGAGATGTATGTCTATTGTTACTTGTTAGCATAATATATTCACCTGGCTGTGTCACTACAGTTCAGGGTATACTATACTTTTTTATAATGCTCACAATTTTTTTTATTAAATAGTTTGGCAGTTCTGACTGAGTACAATCTTAATCATTACAAATAAATGATGTCATCAGAAGCTGCCATATGAAACAATTAAAACTGTCAACAAACAGATTTAGTCTCCCCCTGAGGCATTGCCGCATCAGCAGATTGTTCAATTGTTTTGCAATTTAGGTGTCAGGATCGTAGCAACAATAATTCGTAAACTAGCAATAATCACCCCAAACTAATCAGCTCCCAAATACAAAATTGCTTTCTATTGTAGTGTGGGTAGCTTTGAAGGTAACCTGAGACCAGGCTCTATTTTACAAATATACCCTGACACAAACCTTAATCAGATAGTTTTCCACCCATGTGCAGCAAAGTTTATATTTATTATCCAATCAAAATGTCGTAGTAGAAATTTAAATTTCACACAAGGACAACAACAATATAATTATAATTTGATCAATATACAACAATAATATAATCTAATTAGCACCAACCAATCAAATGACAGATTAAAAAATGTTTTTGTCTCATTGACCAATCAGATTTACACTCGAAATACGTTGTAAGGCATGATATTTTGTTAAAGTTTGTATTTATTTGTATTTATTTGCACATGGTTTGTGTCAGGGTATGTTTGTAAAATAGAGCCTGATCTCAGGTTACGTTCTAGGATAACCACATGCCTATTTATTCATTTGTAGGCCTGATTGCAGATTACTTTGAAGGTGCCATTAAAACGATAATTAGGGCAAAAACTGACTTAATATTTCTATATATGAAATTGTGGTTAAATTCTGCATGTCCAATGATTCATACAAATATAATTATTGCTTATATATAATACGATGTTGTACAGGATTCAGTGGCAGGCTAGCTACCATGGCAACTGGTCGTGCCACACGTATAAACCAGGATCTATTTGAATAATGCAAATCATTAAAAACTTGCATACTATACGTGACCTGTTGCTATGCCTAGGTTCACCAGTGACAGTATTATAATTATACATACAAATGAAAGGCAAGAACTTATGAGCATTGAAGGTATTCATATAAAACTGTCCATGCCAAGAAAGAAGAATTACAATATCTAGCTGACCTTCGCCCTTGTGCAAGGTGTTTAGTATTCAAATTGCATTTTTCCTACTTCCTGAACATGCGTCTTAAGGGCTGTTTATACGATGGAAGGTGGGGAATTTTTTATCTGTTGAAATAAGTCACCAGGTGAAATAAAACTTTTAAAAGCTTGTTAACAGTACGGAACATAGATATTGTAGAGAAGATCTTGTAGTTCAAGAAGATTGTTATTGCTGCTTGAACAACCTTTCGTTTACAGTTACCTATATAAATCTTTCTGTAGAAAATAATGAAGTTTTTTGCTGATTTGTGCACCGTGACTTATTTAATCGAAGATTCGAAATCATCCCGCCTCATATCTCGTCGTGGCAAGGCGGGATCGTTAAAACAGCCCGTTATTCAGCAAATTGTGCATGCTGCCTTTGATCTCTTGGGCTTGGGATGAGGCAGCATTTTACTTGCGATAGTAACTTCTAGTAATGAGATATTGTTGCTAGATTTCATCACAGCACTGTTAAATCAATTGATTGAACAGTTTAGTCCTGCTTATTTCCCCCTTTATATAACCAGTGGCGCCGTGGCGGGGGGGGGGGGGGG